GGAATGGATGAAAGTAATTAAAATTTCCACAACGGTTAGCCGGTTGTTGTTAGGCTGCTGTAACGTTCCTTTTAATTGGAGGGATCTGAAAAATTGAATTAATGAACCGTCAAATAATTGGATGAATGAATGGATGAATGAACGAACGAACAAACGAATGAATGAATGGATGAATGAATGGATGAATGATTGAATAAATTAATTATTAAAAGAAAGAATGATGGAGTTAACGAATAAATAAACGTACATAAGTACATTGTACCGCTCAAGTTCACACAAGCATGTACATTGTACAATATACACACATAGGCATGCACATATTCACACACATACACTCACTCAAACAATCACCAACACACACACATACATACATCACATACATTTATGCATACACACACACACACACACACACACACACACACACACACACACACACACACACATACATACATACATTTATGCATACACACACACACACACACATACATACATCTATGCATACACACACACACACAAACGTATGCACTTCCTCTACGTACAACATAATTTATTGCGTCTTGCAGAAAATTTTCGCTTCTAGCTCTGGAACGAAGACAATTTTTTTATTCTTTTTCATTCTCTTCGAATTTTCTAGAATTTTTTTTCATTTAATCGTGAATCTTCTTGTTCTATTGTTGTTTTTTTCAAAATACAGTTTAACACTTTTTGGTTTTCAATTTAATTTTTATGGTGATTCATTGGAGTTGTAATTATTTTCCTCATGAAGGCATACATTTTTTCCTTCATTTAATTCTTCCCTTCATTCCTTTATTCATTTTTTCTTCATTCTTTTGTTAATTTAATTGTTAATTCGTTCATTCATTCATTCATACAACTGTTGCTCACTCATTCATCTTCCTTGCAACAACTTCCACAACAAATATGTAGAGAAAACGTCAAATCATCCATCTACAAGCAAATTAATTCATGTTATAACAACAACAACATCAAACACATCAACAACAACGACAGCAACAACAACGACAGCAACAACAACGACAGCAACAACAACGACAGCAACAACAACGACAGCAACAACAACGACAGCAACAACAACGACAGCAACAACAACGACAGCAACAACAACGACAGCAACAACAACGACAGCAACAACAACGATTCGTTCATGTTTTTATATTTACAAATCAGCCAGACTCAACTCTCAAGACTTGCCGGTCGAAACACCACACACACACACCACACACACACCACACACACAC